GCTTCGGGTTTCGGGGTTTCGGGGTTGAAGGTTCAGGGTTAAGGGGTGTAGGGGTAGGGTTAAGGGTTTGAAAAGCTCAGGGTTCAGAGGTTTCCGGGCTGAAGGTTCAGGGTTTGGCGGTTTAGGGGTNNGGGTTGAGGCTTTAAGGGTTTAGGGTCTGTAAGTGTCACCGTTTCAGCGTCCAAGGTCTGGGGGTTTAGGGTGTTGATGGGAAGGGGTTTAAGGGTTTAGGGTTGGGGGGGGTTGGGGTTAAGTTTCGGGTTCATAGTGTTGGGTTCTCTAGATTTGGGTTTGGTTTTGGGCTTTTTCGCTGCCTTGGCTCCGAGCAGAACGAATAGAGCCGCCGCTGTGAAGCGTAATGCAGACAACTGACGAATAGATCCCTGAAGTTGGAATCCCTATCGTAATTGCTACGAAGCAAGGGAGGTTTTTTTGAATCGTCTACTATGGCCTTAATAATTTCTAAAAGGGTTTTGGGGCCCATTTGTACTATATTTCTAATAGGGAACCCCCCCAAAAAAATTCTAAGAAGGACCACCCCCCAAAAAAAAATAAAAATAATATAGGTAATTTTTAAGGGCGCTACATTGGTGGACGTCGGTGCTTCAGTCTGCCCAAGGCGTACCATCGTCGATCGCATCAATGAGCTCAACAGCTCTGGCAGGTTGAAGCAGGCCCGGGTGAACTGTGGGGTCTGGGCTTAGGGTTTAGGGTTTAGGGTTTAGGGTTTAGGGTTTAGGGCTTACCTACACCCTAGACACTAAACCCTGAACCCGAAACCCTAAACCCTGAACCCTACACCCTAGACCCTAAGCCCTAAACGCGAAACCCCAAGCCCTAAACACTAAACCCTGAACGCGAAACCCTAAAACCTGAACCCGAAACCCTAAACCGTAAACCCGAAACTACCATGTTGCAGGAAGCTTGGGGGGGGGAATCTGAGGTCTAGGGGTGTATATTAGGGGTTAAGGGTTCACAAGAAACCAACCTTGTCGGGCTTGGGGTTTACGCACTGTTTGTGGGGGCTCTAGGGTTTAGGGCTTAGGGTGTGTGGGCTTAGGATTTTGGGTTTAGGGTTTTAGGGTTTAGGGTTTAGGGTTCTGCGTTTGAGGGTGCTGGGCCAGAATGCGGGCACCCAAAGAGCCAATTGTTCCTAATAATCAAGCCGCAAGCCTTGTTGAGGGTTTTGGGTTTAGGGTTTAGGGCTTGGGCTCATGTTAAGGATGCCGCAATTATTTCAAGAAAGCTCCGTTCTAGCGGTATCCTACTCTTTTGGGTAGAGGGTTTCGGATCCAGGCGTGTGCACTGCTTGAGGCTCGGGGCTAGGGGCTATCCGAAGAGCTCAATACC